CTTTCCGTCCCTCAATTTTCTAAGGGAAAAGTCATGCGGACGAAGTTGGCCAGTTTGTTGAGTTCTTTTTAATCCGTGAAAGGAATAAAACATAAACATCAAGATTATGTGAACCGGGCAAATGAAGACATGACCGTGGTTCACGTCATATTCATTCTAAAGTTAGCACTATCTGTTACTAATGCCGCAAATTTCTAATTGCCAAGTTTCTCTTTCTTTGTATTTTAGCCGAGGACCTCAAGGTGAAGGAATCATTCAACTAAGCTACAATTATTTCGACTGCGCAGTGAAATGGGGCCAGCTTTCCAAATTACCTAGAGCCACGTTCCTATCGGAATTGAATAAAGCTGTGCAGGCGGTGTTTCCAGGAATGGTTGTTCCGAAACCGCTTGACGTCAAATTCAAGTACTGGGAAGCGTGCTGGCAAGTATTAAATTAAATCGATTGTGAAAACATCTAGATTCACAGCAACAAGCCCGTAAAAAACTATGGGTCAAACAGACTGGAATCAAAGAATGATTCCCTGCTAGAAATCTCTCACAGTAAGAGAAAAAGGAGCCTGAGGAAAAGGCCTCTGCCAACCCCCGACGCGTGGCCTGCGTAGCTGGCGAAATTAGGGAGCTTTAGCAACGACGACGGCGACGGCAACCAGGGCCCAGTTGCTCGAAGCATGGTTAGCGTTAACCAGCGTTTAATACCTTGACAACGTATTGGTTTTGATACCAGGGGCGTAGCTAGGGGGGGGGGGGGTCCTGGGGTGCCCGTGACCCCCCCTTGGTAGGCCTTCTTCCGAGCAAAAAACCTACAATATTCAGGTGGCGAAAACGCCATGACAATATCTTGGCCGTAAAAGCCATTGTTGAAAAGCCCACTTTTTTAAAATTTGTTTTTTTGTTAAGTATTTTCGTCAATGGCTCTTGTCTTTAGTTAGTATGGGCCTTCATGCAACGATAATACGACTGAACCCGCTGATACACGAGGGAGAGCAGCGGTATAAACCATATATAATCGGCCATCCCCGGATGGTGTCCCTGCTGTGACCCCCCCTTTGAAAAATCCTGGCTACGCCCCTGGATACTGCTTAACCAATGGTTAAAGCTAACCATGCTTTGAGCAACTCAGCCCAGGACGTCAAAAAAGCAATAGGTTTATTATGCAAAACAACAACTTTGCACGTGCATTACCCTTTTTTGTACATTTTTTCACCGTCCTTGCACGATTACGACGTGAAAATGCCTAATTACAGGTTTTATGGAAGACGTAAACCAGCGACGACGAATCTCTTTTTCTCTCTCTAAACTTGAGTGCGGTCCTCAAGAAAGGGAATTAATTTTAAACTGACGTTTTCGCTGCTGTTGCCGTCGTCGATGCTAAAACTCCCTATTGTTTTTGCGCGTGTGAGAGTTTTGGCCATTGTCGCGGACTTTGCTGCGAGAAGCAACCTCCCCATTCTCCGTACCACCGCGCGTTCTCTTATGTAGCCACCGACTACATCCGTGCTCAAAACTTACAACTTTTCAAAACCAGTTTCGTTCAATATGGAATGCGCGTGCCCTTAGACCGCACGCGATACATCAAGACTCACTTCGCCTGCATTAATTCTTGAAAGAAAAGGAGTTTAAAAATGGGATGAATCAGTCTCTCACGCTGTGACACGTCCTAAAGAAATTTGTAGCCTTAAGACTCCAGCTAGGTTGCCAGAACTTTTCCCTTAGAAGGTGGCCACTCACATTTTCTAAGAAAAAAAACCCGGGGGATACTCCTCCTAATTCTTCGTGGGGGCATGCCGCCCTGTTCTCCAAATCCTGACCCTATTTCAGACGAGAAAATGTAATTTTTGCACCCGTTTTCAGACCTGGCCTCTACGAAATCACGTCATCATTACTTAGATTAGAGAGCAACATAAAAGATTTCTTAAAATCCATTTCGAATTGGAATATTTCTCTTTATTTCTTACTTATTTGGAATTGAAACTATAAATACGATCATACACTTCCGTAGTTCCCTCGAAAACCATACCCGATTCCAGAGCGAAATGGACAAAGTCTATACCCGTTTTCAGACAAAAACGGCGCAAAGAAACATAACCTTTAGGGTGGCACATACCTACATTGGTTGTATGAGGGCGTACCGCTCCCCGGCTAAAAATCCTCAAATTCTCTAGTGATTTTACATGTTGTTCTGCTGTATTCATTTAAAACCTGTGCACTGCATACCGTATGATTCTGTAAGGGGCGGGTGTTAAGGGGTAGGGGCGCTTGTCTAAAGAGTGGCGCTGATTCGAGCATTTACGTAATGTTTTAGGCATTACACAAAGGCAGGATCTAACGTCAGCCGTCAAGATACAGAGGAATGGGCCAAGCGCCCTTTTCCAGGAGAGGAGGTATACATCGTCGGTGAAGCGTTTGCGGTGATCGTGGGATGGAATGAAGGAGCCCTCCAAACAGCATACAAAGCACTAAAGGAAGGATGGGGAATAGAAGAGCCAGAACCTTAATTGAAAGATTCATCATAGAGCATAGGGCTGGATTCAGGATACTTTTTAGATGAAGAATCAAAACTTTGCTGCTTTTTTCTGTTTAATAGTCTGAAATGTCATACGTCTCCAGGTGGAGACGTATGACGATTCAAACTAACTGTTTTTAAACAGTGAGAAGACTAAGATCTTTTCACAGCTAATCATTTCTTGTAGTTATTTATCTTATTTTCTAGAAAGTTTTAACTAAGCAGTTCTTCATATGCAATCCTTCAATTTAAACCTCTTAGCACTTTTTCATTAAATTTTGTATATGTTAAGAGGTAGTTGCCTTTTGTTTTGTTTTTCAGTTTTGCTATTTTTTAAGGTTTTGCTAGCTTCGTGATAAACAGTTTATAGACTTTTATAGACTTAGAGACTTGGAGATTCAATGTATTTCCCCACATGGTTAGTTCCCGATTTTTTGTCTAGTATTATCCATTTGAAGTGTTTGTTAAGCTTAGTTTTGGTTCTTTGAAGTAGGCTTTTTTGGGGAGTACAGCTGACCTTGAGTTCTACCCACAACCGAGTTCCTGTTTTGTATGTTTTGTCCTTCTGGGCAGTTTCACTGTTAGCATTTAACTGGTTCTTTGGTACTTGTCGGTTGCTGCTGTGTAGGCTTATCTAACTATAGCAACCCTGTTGCGATATAGGCGATAAGGTATTCAATAGAAACTCTTCCGGTCAGCTAACTCAAAATAAGTCTACAATTAATTTGATTATTTTATTCGCTGTGTAAGCTAGTAGAGTTGTAGAGTTGTTGTCAGTAGCTGTTGAAAATTAAACTGCTATCTTAAAGAGAAAGAACGGAGTCTTGGTCCTCTCGTTAAAAAGCCTAGCGAGCTTCACAAGCCCTCAATCCTGGTCTGATGATTGAATTTAAGGTGGCGGGGGCACAACTTCTACTGAACCCGGAACCGCCCCAGCCGAAAAGAAAACTTTAAACATGGGAAAAGCCTTCAGAAGGAATCAAACCTTTGTCATCCAAATTGCCACAAGCATTGCCCTACCACCATTTGGCTGTGAAGCCCTTGATGGTTACATACAACTTGGGGCTAGGATCCGTGTTACCCAGGTACTGGGTACGTGCGACACTCACTTGCTCATCCGGGGGTGTTCCCTATAATGGTCTATACGGGGAGGTTCCGCCCCAAGGGGGTGCCCTAGTGAGGCCTCAGGTATATAAAAGGGTAGGGATTTCACTAGCTGAAGTATATTAACTGTACGTAAAGCTGTCTTTCCGTCTGTAAAAACACCCACAAGGGCTGACAGAGGAATTTATGGCTGTGATAAAGTCGAGAAAATTTCCTAGTCTTGTGATTTCATCATATTTCAAAGCGGTGAGTGCATTTACAGCAACTAAAAAGGGTGCAACGTTCTAAATCAGGTATTTGAAAGGGGTACCATTCCCCAATGGAAGGTATAGGAAAAGGGTACCTTATCTGTCTAAAATGGTATATAAAGTGGTAAGGGTTGACCACGGGGTGGAGCCTCGCTGTATAAAACTCTGTTGAATACCCCCCCCCCCCCCCTTCCAAAAGGAAAAACACGGAACCCCCCCCCATACTCCCACGCCCCCCTCAACCCTCTCCCCCTCCCCGTACCAATCCCCCCCCCCCCCCCCCACTTCAAGAAGGAAAACACGCGAGCTCCTCCCATGTGCTCACGCGCCCTCGAGATTTCTCCCCTCGCCCTGAAAAAAACGGCGCCTTGTACTCTAGCCTGCGAGCAAGCTCTCAGGCTAGTTGTTCCCCAAATCCCTCTCGCGCTGCCATGTGGTTTCCTCTATTCACGTAGTCCTGAGGGAGTGGGGACGTCTGTACACAGGCTACTATTTACGTCGCCAGATTCACTTTCTTAAACTGAATTTTGTCCTTGGTCCTACCAATTTGTCCCACCGTTACAGATTTTTGTGAGAGTGAAGTTCAAGTCTGTAGCTGTTTGCAGATTCTTCCTGTGTCAATTCTGTGCGTTTATTACTATTTCAATAAAAAAACGTCCTTTTCTTTGTCCCCTTCGCAAGAAAGAAACTACCTTAAACCGTATTAAGACTATTAAATGTGAATTCCGTCACCCAACGTCATTAAGTCGTTCTTATCTGCCACATTGTGCTCTCCTTGAATCTTAGTTAAACCAGTTATGTAAGCTTATGTCGAGCTCTACTGTCTCGCCCACCTCAACAATCTAACGTAAACATGTTAGGTTTAATCGATGCTGGTTCTGCCAGCCTGTCCATAGATTTCCTTTCTCTTTTTTGAGTTAATTTAGTGATATAGTAATTTTTGTTTAAGTAAAAAAACTCGTTATTTTTCTTCTTACTCCAACTGAAAAAGTTTAGAAGGTTTGCAGAAAGAAATGTGAACGGGCCAACAGTGGGAGGGATCGGGCCGAATTTTCCAGCGGCACTTTCAATTTTGTCTAGGTACTTCATGTAGGTACGTTTTGTTTTGTGAGTGATTCGGTGAGCAAAGCAGATGACGAGTCGATGGAAGTCGACGATGACCGAAGATCAGTTTTAAAAGGAGTTTAAAAAAAAGGCACAGGACGGTTTCTGGAAGATAAGGATAACGGAATTTTCGTGTAAATGTACAACTGGTATTGATGGTACAGCTGATTGACAGTAAGCTCCCTTTATTTTGAGCATATTTGCTGCACATGAACAGAAGCTTACTTACAGGTAAATTACTGAAATTACTACATGTACATGCATGTTCAAGATCAAAAGGTTATTTTGAATTATTTTTATTTGATCTGGTTTTGTCTCTAGCTAGAGTAAATGATAAATGTAGGAATAATCTGACTTGAACAAGGCTATAATTATTAACTAAATCGTCTTCTGATTCTGAATAATTCTTCTGATGCAAGCTTTTTAGTCGATTACACCGTTTTAAACCATTAAGACTGGTGTGATAATAGGAATGAATTTTGTTATAACTGATTAAGAAACTAACTTTTAAGTAAACAACATCAGGTTTAAGTGTAGAACAGCTGTCTTGTGACTGTTAGTCAGTTATTGTCTATACAAGTACCTAAAAGGTTGCTGATATTATGTCCACATGAGAAACTGAACCTGAAGAAAGGTAAATCACAGCATAAACTCACCATCTGCTCTCTCGTCCCAAAATGCAGATATAATCCTTGAATTACCCAACAGCTGACTTTACAACACTGTAGCTGTTTGAATGACTCAAGTGATCATCCTTGCTACTGTCTACTTGATAGGGGTGTCACCATTGGAGAGGCCCTCTTAGTGTGGTATGTATATCCATCCCTCGTCTGAATTTCAAATATGGCCGTTTTGCGTTTTGAGGAGGAGGCCATGTCCCTCTAGGTATTTATCCATCTTTACGTTGTTTGTTTCCATTTCATCTACACTTTATGTTGCTGTTTCCAGGTCATGTTGCTTGATGGTATTTTTTCCTAACAGAGCCTCATTGGACTCCTGACCTAACAGGGGAGTAGTGGCACTGACACCCCCATGTACACTGTACCTCATGCTTAGTCAGGTGAAAAGAGCATGTTGAGCTCTCTTCTGGCTCAAATAGCCTGAACGTCACAGTACCTAAAGTACCTAACTTCCTAAAGTCCCCTTTCCTGGGTTTTTGAGTCATTCAGACATGACATTGGCCAGTTCTGTTTTCCTCGGATGAAGCCTTGCAAATCGACGGACTATTAACCTCTTGATTTCACCTTTTTCTATTATAAAAAATATATTTATTATGAAAAATCTGACTGATTTCAGTAAAACAGTGGAAATCAGTGTGGATCCATGCCTGTATTTGGTGGTGTTTATTCTCTTCTGGCTCAAATAGCCTGAACTTCGTGGTACCTATCTTGCCTGTCTACCAACCTGACATTACAATAGTTGTTGAATGCCTTTTCTATTTTATTTCAGATTTAGCATTTAAAAATGCATTGAATAAAATCATGGTCAATGAGAAACAAACAAACAGTATGGAGAATGGTTCTTGTCAGACTTCACACGACCAGGCTTGCGATTTGGGTGGGGACACTTTTCAAGTGAGTAACCTTTGCTACATTCTGCAGAGTCGCTTCAACAGCTAGTAATGAGTAGCCTGCTCCCCAACTGATGGTATTAAAAAATACATTGTAAAAGTAACCAATAACTTCGTCCCATACTGTTCTAGATATGTGAGTGTTTCTTTTAACACCCTAGTATTAAAATAATTTCTTTATATATGGGTGAAGGAGATGTTGATTTCAAGTGGGTTATCATTTTCTCTTTTCCTGTTTCCACTAAATATTGTAAAAACCAGTGGATAAGCTGCACTCATAAGTAATCCATACTCCAAGTTTAGAAGTTTGAATGATGGCAGAGTTAGAAAAAAGTTTAAGTCTTTTTCAGTGAATGTAAGCTATCTCTGTGTATCAATGATTCCACTCTGTAATAATAATAATAACAATAATAATAATAATAATAATAATAATAATAAAGGTCTCTATTAAACACTAGATAAACAACAGATGTGTTAAGTTACAATGATACAAATTTAGTCGTACAGATAATTAATTAACTAAGTAGGTAACTAACTAACTTACTAGAGAAAAAAACATCTATTTACAAATTAAAGTTCTCTTGAAATGCTCAGTTCAAACAGGTGGAAGAATATAGTTATGGCGCTTCTTATGTAACATAACCATAGTTCGCTCCGGTGGCAGTAGGTCATCCAAAGCTGTTGTTGAATTGCTGTCGGTGATCTTGTCCCATAACTTCTTATCTTTCAGGGCAATAACATTTTCAATTAAAAAAAAAAGTTCTATCTTAGGCATGGATCTAGGATAAATACTGACCGATTTGCTAAATGAGGGCCAAAGGTGCAAGCTTCTAGGGGACCTGGTGGCATGCTCTTCCACGAAATGGTTTTAACTTCCTAAAGTCCCCTTTCCTGGGTTTTTGAGTCATTCAGACATGACATTGGCCAGTTCTGTTCTCCTCAGATGAAGCCTTGCAAATCGGCAGACTATTTAACCTCTTGATTTCAACTTGGAAAGTTTTTTCTTTTAAAAAATATATTTATATATTTTTATATGCGGATCCATGCCTGTATTTGGTGGTGTTTTTATTCAAGATTACACTCAGAAGGAAAGCTGTTTGTTGAGACCTTTTGCTAATCCATACTTTCCCCTAAAGTGGGAATTCATTGGAACTTCCTGTATTGGCAGTAACAGAGTGAAGCAGTGTCCAAAATAAGCCATTTCCGAGTTCCTTCGGGCCTCTGTATCAAAACGAGGTTAAGTGCTCAGCCTTTGATATGAAAATGACTTTTCATTCTCATGCAAATAAAACTCATTTCACAAAAAGGTTGAGCACTTGGCCTCATTTTGAAAGTGAGAGTTTTAGGAACTCAGAAATGGCCTACTGAAAAGCTGTTTATCATACGGTTGATATGGGTTGAAGGTGAAGTGAATGCTACGTCTTAAAAACAAACTTTGTTTTGACAGATAGGCTTTATATTCTTCAAATCAAAATCAAGTTAAAACAAGTGAAAGAACTGATTTTAATAATAAGGACAGTTAGTTGGGAATTTTCTACTTTTGCTTTTCCACAAACCACCATTTTTGAATCTTGGGGCATCATTTGACTGCTGCCACCGATACATTGTACAAATTAATGTTGCTTCTTGACAATACTGGGCACAACTGATGTATTATCAATTCAAAATATCAGCATGCAGAAAATCGAGGGCAGAGCGGTTCTGGCAGCATGCAGAAAATTGAAGAGCAACGACATTGATGGGTCCAGTGGGGGGGGGGGGGGGGGGGGGGGGGTGTTTAAAAAATTATTTTTTTTTTAGAGTATAATGAGGGAAAAATTGTTATTATATAAAAAAAAAAAACAGACAGAGAAAAAAGGGGGGGGGGGGTGTGGGGGGACAGAAAAAAAAAAGAGGGGAGAAGAGAGTGGGGGGGGGGGGGGGGGGGGGGGGGGGGGGGGTGAGGGTTACTGACCCCCTAGGCCCCTCCCATCAATAGGCCTATCAGATCATACTTACTTTTTACTACTTAACAAAGTGCTTTGACTTTTGAACTTAATTTTCCATCTCAAGGTGGTTAGCAGTGAATTACCTCTTACTTTAAAAAAAAAAAAAATTAAGGATGGACAGATCTTTCCATGGGCACCTCATTTTAGAAACTATGACCAATCCTGTCAGAGTTACACACAAAATCCCTTCAAACAGTTTTGAGAAAATACACTGCCATTTTCTCGGTTCACGTTGCTACTCTTACTATGTTAAATTTACCCCTTTCCAGGAAAGTTAGCCAGCTACAATTCCATAGGAAAGAAAGACAATTAAGTGTGCAAGAAAACTAGACACAAAAAGAAAGGCAAAGGAAAGAAAGAGAGCAAGAACAAAATTTCGGCTTATGCATGTGCGCCAACAACAAAATTGGAGCGTAATAGGCCACTTGCACTAAGAGGTCACTTGACCAATGCTTCCTTTAAACAATGAGTTGGAATCCTGCTGATGCCAAAAATTGATGGAGCACATAGAAATTATCTTACACCCGAAATTTGAGAGAAAACGCATTTAAGGGAGATATTTTATGGCACTCTTATTTTTCAACAAAGTAGTATGATTTGTACTGGCCACCATGTTGGAGGGCATACTCTTGCCTTCCAACATGGCGGTCAAAACTACTTTTTGCTTCTATCTTGTTAAACGTTTGATAGTTACCCTCATATCTGCTGAAAATGTTTCCACATCATCTTTTCAACAATTTCCTTGAAGTTTAAGTGCAAAGTTTCTGTTCAGAAAAAGGTAATTCATAGTTAAAAATCACAGTTTGGTCACGTGACCAGCTATGAACTTACTCATTGTAAGAAAATGGTGCGGGTTTGAAAAACTAAATCACTATTATTTTGTTTAAGATATGACCCACTAATGGTTATTTGAAGGCAAAATCATATAACTTTCTTTTTCATAAGAATGATGTTACATGACCTCTTAGTGCAAATGGCTTATTACATCCATTTACCAGGAAAATATATCTTTAATGGTTTTGCTACTAGCTGGCTGTCGGCCAAGGGTTAAGATAAAACCTTCTTAGCATTTCATCTCTTAACCATAAAATACGTCAGCTAATCACAGGCTTTTAATCAAAGTTGCTTCTAACGAAGTTAACTATAAAACATATGAAGGGCATGTAACGGCAGAAATTATTAAATAGGTAAACATTTCATAGCTGAGATAGCCTAACAGGCGTTATTTTTTCTCGTGTTCTCTGTTCTCGACTCAGAAGCTGACCGCTTCTCACTTAGGGCTAAGGACTCTTTAACTTTAAAGAAGAAATATGCCAGAACTAATGTCTTGAAGTATAGTTTTTTNAAAATACGTCAGCTAATCACAGGCTTTTAATCAAAGTTGCTTCTAACGAAGTTAACTATAAAACATATGAAGGGCATGTAACGGCAGAAATTATTAAATAGGTAAACATTTCATAGCTGAGATAGCCTAACAGGCGTTATTTTTTCTCGTGTTCTCTGTTCTCGACTCAGAAGCTGACCGCTTCTCACTTAGGGCTAAGGACTCTTTAACTTTAAAGAAGAAATATGCCAGAACTAATGTCTTGAAGTATAGTTTTTTTCCATAGAATTACTGACCAGTGGAATCAACTACCGTTAGACATCCGTGTTTCTGATAATGTAAATATTTTTAAGTCTAGAGTTAGGAAATTTTTCAGTGATTTTTAAGTAGCTTTTATATTTCTGTATTTTCTGAAACTATTATTTTATTGTGTTTCTATATATTTCTAGGTGATCTGTTTTTATATGGGGTCTAGGACTCCTTTACAGTTTATCCTTTGGTTTTTAATCCATAGATTGTAATAAATAAATAAATAAATAAACTGAGAGCGAAGGCAATCGCAAAGCGAGGGAGGCGCCTAAAACACGTGCGAAGGGGAAAGGCGCCCTTCGCTCGCTTCACGCTTCCCTTCGCTCTCTAAACAAAAGCCAAAAAATAATGCTGTTATGCAGCCTAAGTTGAGAGAACAAGACAAGACAAGACATTTATTACCATAATATTGCAAGTACAATTTCTTGGCACGCAGTTAGCAATAAAATGCTAGTCGAGGCGTGCCAAACAGTGGACTCCATTACTAAAATTCTTGGATCCATTTCTTGAACATATTATGTATTCATGTCCAATTTCTAGTTCATCGAGTCGATCTTAGCGAAAGAATATGGGACATTTTTGGAATTCGTTTCTTATAAGTTGATGTCAATTTTTTTCACATTGGCTCCGTCTCTCCGGCAGAGAGTTGAAGTTGAAATTGATGTTCGGTCCTTTGGGCTGAACGGTTCCTACCTGGAAAATCACCGTCATTTCACGTACCTGGACATCAGAAATACTGAACGAAACCTCAGGAATAGTTTTAGCGAACATTTGCAAAGTATACGCAACAACACTCCTGGGTGTCCTGTGGCCTAACATTTCAACTCCACGGGTCACAGTACTTCTGATGTTCAGGTTTGTGGTGTGACTCAATATCATCCTATCAGCTATCAGCTACCTATAAAGTAACTTTTTGTTCCTTGCAGGGAAACGTGGTGATCAAGTCAGAACCAATCGATGAACCAAACATGATCTCTTTGTCAGACATCGTATCTGAAATACTGAGTCAGGAGTATCGGAGGAATAACCAAGATCAAACGCATTGCACTTCGACTTGTTCCCTACCCGATGAAGCCTCCGCTCTCGTTGCCGAAAAACGCCCTGAACAAAGTGAAAGTAATGAGAATGACGCAGCCACTGACGTTTCAAAGACTCTTAGAACCGAACAAAGTGATGTGACTCGTGTGTGCACTTTTGCAAGTTCCCTAACCGATGAAACCTCCGGACTCGCTGCTGAAAAACGCTCTAAACATAGTGAAAGTAATGGGAATAACACAGCCAGTGGCACTTCAAAGACACCCAGCACAGAACAAAGTGATGCGACTCGTCTGTTTAAATGCTCCAAATGTCAAAAAAGTTTCAATAAGAAAGGAAATCTCAAGCGACATTTCAATTCACACTGTAATGAAAAACCAACTTCTAAGTGCAGTCTGTGCGGCAAGTGTTTTGTAAAGGCGTGGCATCTGAAGGTGCATTTTAGAAGACACACCGGCGAGAAGCGTTTCAGGTGTAAAGAATGCAGCAGGTGTTTTGTGCAGCTCTCTACTTTGCAGATGCATGAGAGAGTTGTGCACGGTGGACAAAAGCCTTTCCAGTGTGACCAATGTGACGAGGGCTTTAGGAACTCGCAACATCTCTCAAATCACATAAAAGCAAAGCATTCAGGTGAAAAGCCTTATAAATGCACTTACTGTAGCTTGCAATTCAAACAGCAGTCCAACCTCAAAATACATGTGAGAATACACACAGGCGAGAAACCTTTTGTATGTAAAACATGTGGCAAGAGTTTTACACGAGCATCGGGGCTGACTGATCACAAGAGACACCATACTGGTGAAAAACCGTTCAAATGTTCGTGGTGTGAAAAAAGGTTCGGCCAGTCACAGCACCTCAACAGGCACTTTAAGGACAAACATATGGGAGTAAAACCTTTCAAATGTAACTTTTGTAAAAAGAGCTTCTCCCAGGCTTCGAATCTTCACACGCATAAAAGGATACACTCGGGTGAGAGGCCTTACAGCTGCGATGAATGTGAAAAGAGATTTAAGGATCGTGCATCCCTTCAAGCACATAAACGAACACACACAGGCGAGAAACCTTATAAGTGCACCCAATGTGACAAGAGTTTCAGGCAAGCGCAACATCTGAGGAGACACGTGAAAGTTAAACATAGTGGAATACGACCGCATAAGTGTTCCCATTGCGGAAAATGCTTTGGGCAGGCGTCGGATCTACAGAAACACCAAATGACACACACTGGAGAAAAGCCCTTTCAGTGCACTGAGTGCAAAGAGTGTTTTGGAAGTGCGTCAAATCTAGACCGGCACCTCAGATGTCATACAGGGGAGAAACCATACCATTGTCCTCATTGTGGCAAAGATTTTAGACAGGCAGGTCATCTTAGCAGGCATGTCAAAAAACATACAGACAAATGATTACTTTTTTGAGGAGAATTGGCCGATCGAATGGTCCTGAGCGTTATTAATTTACGGGAAAAATCCACTAGGAATGAGATAAGGCCCCAAATTTGTCAGGCGAGCATGGATGAAATTTTGTTGTCAGCGACCTTCCTCGATTCTTCGGCATTATTCCAGCTCTATAAAACTCGAGAAAGACGATTCTCTTTCTATGATTTCTTAAGCTCCCACTGCACAATAGACGCCGAGTCGGCGACTCTTCGAAAATTTCCTTAGATAGTAGTTGGTTCTGTTCGTTTTATTCCGAAACTTTTCAACTTCACTCAAGTTCGTCTTATTCTGTTTTTTAGGAAGACAAATGTTAAACCCTTTCGGATAACAGGCAAAAAAACTATTTACTGCTGGTCATTAGGTTTTTTTTAGTATTTTCTTAAAATTAAAGTTTATTATCATTCTAGGTAGATTAATATTCACATATGATATAATCATCTCACCAGTGTCCCTTATTGACTGTAAAGCAAAATCTTTGACACATTGAGATAAAATTATAATACTATCATAAATAAAATATTATACAAAGATTGATCAGATCAGATACAATTGCCTCCTCTATGGCAACTGAATAATTTTTATAATTTGCAATTTATAAAAAATATTTTGCGTGTACCAAGAAAGGATACATTTATTATTTTATATAGAAAAAAGTTTAAGTGATATTACCTTGGTTTAAAATAATGAATAATTTATGTGAAAATCTCCTTAAGATTTAATTTCTTCATTTGTAAAATAAATTTTATTTTGTTGTGAGTATTGTAATCAAGTATTAAATAAAAAGATTATGAATGACAAACCTCAAGTGTATTGTTAACTTATTGCAAAAGAGTAGATAACTTCAAACACACGTTGAACTTTTGAACCGACATCGTTCTTTTAAAACATTTAGCAAAACGAAGAAATCGCGAAGCTTCTTTAATTGTAGCTTTGATCCTTTCTCAGTTTTAGTTTCGTTAAAATAACGAATGTTAGCCTTATTGTATACCCGCAGCGATGAACGCTGGCCTGAAGAGCCTGCGTGACGAGCTCGAGCTGTGTATAAAGGAATGTTTTTTGTGTGAGGCAAATAGCTAGGACTACTGTTTCATGTTATTCAGCTATCCATTTCTCTAAGAGCTGCTTTTAATTCACAGTCCGTCACGGTCTGTGTTTTATACTCATTCCAGTCTGCGGTCCGGGGGGGGGGACTCTGCATATGAAGGTGGTACGGACAGGAGCCGAATAATCGGCTCCTGGTACGGATGCTTGTCAGAAATTTTGGATTAAACCCCTAAAAGAGACCGATCTGGGCGTGGCCCAAGCTTTTTTTGACCCAAAAGAGACCATGTTAAAACACAGACAAATGAAAACAATGGACAAAGACTGTCTTCTCTAGGTATTGATGTTATAGAAAACTTGGATTATAAGAATGGAGTAAATAAAACGAATTAAAAATATACATATCAAATATATGGTTTTATATTTTTTTGCGTGCAACCCTAAACGAAACCTTAACGGCTAAATATAATGGCGTTTTGCCCAGAACACCCTAAGTGAGACCAAAATCCGAAATTAGCCTGCGTAGCAAGCGTTTCCAATCGAATTATTGCGCGACCCCCCCCCCCCCCCCCCCCCCCCCCCACCCCC